CTTCCATTAATTGAAGGATTAGCAATGTCAACTTATCTCTTTCCCTCTCTAATTCCCCTCCTACTTTCAACCAAGTCAGTTTCCTATCTTATCGGAGGTTGGTTGATGATTGGATCCCCAATTCTAGAAGGTCGTCCCATACGGTTGTATCCGACTTGATGAAGCTTGTTGATGAGGATTCCCAAGTCTTCTTTCCCCTGAGCTATATTTTGAATAAGATCCATCTGACCAATCATCTGGATTCTCATCTTTGCAATCTCGGTTTGCAGTTTTTCCAACTGGTCATCCTTGTTGTCTTCAGGATTCTTCTTGGTCATGTTCTCAGAGAGGAGTGCTTTCAATCCCTCTTTCCCGTTGGATAGGTTTAGAACCATCTTTTGGAACTGAGATCTCTGGGCCTGGAGTTCTTTAATTGTATGTTCGAGAGCCATTTTTGCTGAAATAAATAGCAAGAAGATGATAAAGATGTCTTGAAAACCTGTTATGCAATGATATGTATGGAAGGTAGATACATATGCAATGTTTTTAAGGACCTCGTGGGATTTAAAATTGTTAATCAAAAAAGAAATGAAGATTCTTATTAGTAAGTTCAGATTATAAATGCCTCTTAGGCTTACAATGAAAACAAAAAGGATGGTTACAAAGGAATAAATTATGACTCGAGTCTCCCATGGACGCTTCCTCTTTGTGTTGACATATGCATTAAGGCTCTGCTCTTTGTGAAGTTGTTTTGTCAGATCCAATACTTTCTTCTCACTAGCATAGAACTGAGTCTCAAAGGTATCTATTTCTTCTTTCAACTGAATCCAAGACTTCTGTATCTCTTCAAGGTTAGCAGGTATATCTGGATGGAGAATGGTATGAGGAACATCTCCTTCAGCAACAGCCTCCACAATTACTGGTAGAACAGTGGGATATGGCATTATATGATTTTGAGCATAATATTGTACCCATATGAGGTAGGGATCCCATGGGATGGATTTTTTGTATCCCAAAGTCTTGCTATCCATCTTATTCACCATGCCCCAAGAATGTATAAACCTTTGATGGTAACCTTGAGTATCATTCTCGTAATCGAACATAATACCTTGTATGAGCATATCATGAGAACCATCTCTTCGAGCATAACCAAATTTACGTAGAGCTAGAGAAGGGTTATAAGTAATACATCCCCTTATACCAAGGAGTGGCACATTAGGGAAATCCCGATAGCAGTCAATAATAGCGACGTCCTCCTTAGATCGGGAACACCAATAAATATCTGAATGAGAGAGTGACATCATCCTTTGAGACCACCTCAAACCTTGTTCATTCTTCATCATTAATCTGGGAAGGTGCGAAATAAACCACCTGGATAGTAAAGGTATGCAACACATGAGAATCCCTCGCTTCCTCATTGTACGAGTGTGAAGAGAGTTCAAAATATCTTCAAGCAAAGTTGGCAAAGGATTATGAGTAAGAAATATTTTGATAGCGTTCACATCTATGAATTGGTCTGGATTAGGGAATAGTTCCAAACCATAGATCAACAGAGCCAAGATCTCCTCAAAAGCGTGAAAACAAATAGCATCTAGAAACAATTGAGACTTCTCTATCAGAAATTTAGCAAGAAGACCTTTAACTCCACTTCTTGTTTCCCAATTAGACACAATGTCTGACCGCTTCAGATGTAAGGCTGCTACAATAACTTCAGGTTTTGGAACTTTTTCTAAACCGATGATGGGTGTCTGATCAAGAATAGGTATCCCAAGTAGCTTAGAAACTCTTCCATTGTGGGTACCAACTGATAATCTGGGAAGGTAAAATAGTGATGTTTAGGATCAAAGAATTGTAACAGAACACTCATCATGTCTTCTTCAAAACCTGAGGTGACTAAACTGAGTAGATAACCATGCCTTTTAGTGAATTGAGAGTTTTCGGGAACCTTTGAGATTAACTCCTTAAGCTTGGAAGGTATCCTCACAAAGTTGATGCAGATGGTATTTCTGCGAGCGGAGGCCATAACCTACAACAAGGAACAAAGATAAATCCCCAGGTCCTTGAAATGGTTAGTGAAAATGTTATGTTATGATGGATGATGTTATGATGTTATGTTCATGTTGAATAAGCAGCAAACACAAAAAGTCATACAAGAGCTTTAGGTTTAAAGTCTTACATGAAGTCCATAGGTAAGTACCCTTCCCCATTGAAGTTAAGTTGGCTCAACATGTCCTCAAATAGTAACCGGATTCTAAGGATCTCATATCACGGATCTTTCTCGCAGGCTTTATTTTAGCACGGCAACCGGCTTGCCACCAAAACATCCTGAAAGTCGAATCTCAATGAGCTAGCTTCAATATCAACCAACCTTGGACTGCACGAAGCCGGCTATCTCACTACTTTCTAATGGCCAAGATGGGTCAATTAAGGTTCTAAAAGTAATTTAGCGTTAATGACACCACACGGAAGCCTAATGTTATCCTCGACTGACTCGAGGAAAATAAGTACAAACCAAAGTGTCACACTAATTGTAGTCATCATGTTAACCATATCGGTCTATGTCGTATAATCTTTATGATCTATCACTACTTACCTAAGGAATCACTAGATCTAGGTGTAGGATCTTTCACACAAGCAATTAATACCCAAGCATGAACCCTTAAAGTAAATCAGAAAAAGAAAACAATAAAAGCAAGTAAAGGTGATCTAAACTCTAAGGTAACCCCTCTTTTTAAGTACTCCCTAACAAAGTCTCCGGTTCTATAATACGGTGGGAGAACTGGCTTTTTTTGGTTTTATCGCAAATGTTGCGGTTAGCAAGAGTCGCCACCGATTTTTTTATCCAATATTTAAGAAAGGTGAAAATAACAGGAAAGACCTTTGATAGATTTTAAGTTAGGGGGTAAGTTATGAAATGGGAAGGTGTTAGCACCCTTTTCATCTATAGTTATCTACGGGCTCTTTAGTTCTTAGCTCACTTTGAAAACTTTCTTTGTGCGTGTGAGATTTAAAAATATTTTGAAATGCCAATGTAAGGCTAACTTTGTAATGACTCTTGTATCAGTCCTCAAGAATGTACACAAAGTGTTTTTAAAAATATTTGTTTTGAAAGTGATATGCAAAATGTTTTAGAAAGGTTGTGAGCAAGCAATTAGGAGTTCTTACCCACTAAAGGTCTTTCTTGTTATTTACCTTCTCATTTAGAGATAGTACTATCCATACCATTAGTTGGTAGGTAGCCCCATCTATTGGATGTGAAGGGACATACGTAGGATCATCTTATGGTCATCGAAGGAAACATGTAAGGATACTTTAGCAGTTGTATCGAAGGGACTATCATCATTTGTTCATAGGGACTAGATTATTTTGTAGGCAGCTCGAAGGGAATAGATCATTTTGTAGGAAAATCGAAGGGTCATCGAGGGATTATGATCTTTATTTGAAAGGGACTATGATGATTTGATCAAGGGTCTTTTGCTATAGTATCCCCACTTTAGAGGGACATGACCAATATCATAAGGCAACAAAAGAGGTTATCCTAGAGGTGCAAGTGTGAAGAGTGTTTGTTTTGATTATTTATCTTGAGAATTAGGGTTTTCTATGTTTGTTTTTAGTCTTGCCATACAAACCCTAGTTACTAATAGTATAGGAAATTAAAGTGCGGAATATAAAGACCTAAACTATTGTTGTACCCCAATTTTTGACCTAAGATCCCATTTTTATTTTGCATTTTTGTACAAAAGTCGAGGTCACTAAATACAGTCGGTTTTAACCCTTCACCTTTGAGCATTGACTATGCAGAAATTGTCAAATATTTTGAACATTCTTAGCCTATGTATCACTAACATCTAATCAAGCACGAAGTTTGTGTTTTTTGTTTCTTTGATTTCATTTGCAGGAAATAGATCTGAATCAAGAGCATCAGGCGTCATGCCTCGATTAGGGTTCAGAATCTCTCAAGCCAGAAGTACAGTTGATCGTTGATTCTTGAAGACTGATTCATCAAGGGAATCGTGTGTTTATTTCCACGCCTTGTTCGACAGGTGGTCTCAAGCTTCTCCAAAAATTCCCCCAAAGCACAATCAAGATTTCATCATCACTGGTTTACATGTGTATCAAGATGCTTTAGAAGGCGAAGAAAGATCAAGTTTGCAAGTCGATTCAAAGCATTTCGACCAAAAGTCAACTCCTGCAAGTTCAATTTCAAACGGTCATAACTTCTTCAATTTTCAACGTCTTGAGGCGATTCTTTTGCAAAGTATCACAAATAGCGTTGTTTATGAGATTACTTCAAAGATTAAGGCGCAAGTCATGCCACAGACGTTTTCTCAAGAACGTTTAATTTTCCTGTTGGGATAATTCATGAAACTGGAGTTTTAGTCCAATGATTCTTTGATGATTGTGGACTACTTCAAGTCATTTTGCAATTGAACAGTAGCGATCATTGGATTAAGGTGGATTTTCGATTAAATTTATTAAAGGCACGATTTGCGCTATTTGTCTGTATTGCAAATTACTATGAGGCGAAGACGCGAGTTAGGGTTGAGAATTCTTCAAATTCTTGTTGTTTGCATGCTAACTTGGATTTGAGATTTGAATCAAGATTGGATTCGTTGTTGTGAAGTTTTCTTTCAAATAACCAATGCCATAAAGCCAAAATATCCAAGTTTGTCAAATAACATTAAGGTTCTTATTTGCAAGAGAGATTCAAGAAGGTTCACGAATTTGATGTCTTGAGTAAGATGCATTCCAATTTCTCGAGGTTTATTTCAAGAGTGCAAGTTCGTTAATGTGAATTGTTCAAAATATCAAGAATTATTCAAGACCTTTCTCAAAATTCAACTTCATTAATCATTCATGCATTTCAAATTCCCAGACAAATTCCGACACAAATTTTAATTGGAATCAAATTGTGTTTCAATTCGGACTAGAGATTAAATTAAGAGAGCAAGACCATTTGGTGTAGAATTTATTCAAGATTTTCATTCAAAATTCGTACTTTCATTCATATGAATTCAAGAGGTTACAAAATATTTCCATTACAAAATCATCACCATTTATACTTTATTGTTACATAAAAAACATGCCAAAATAACACAAACCAAGACCATCCTCCTTGTATGCTTTATGCAGAATTTGCCATGCCTGGATAAGTCTTGTTGTTGTCTATTAATGCTGCCAAAAATTGTCACAAAACAGGCCAAACTTCTCATTAAAACAATCCCAAAACTCTGTAAAATCTGCCAAATTTCCAGCCATGCTACAACACACAAATTTGTCCAAAATATTATTTTCCATTCTGCATATCATCCCTGCAAAAGACAGATTGAAATTTGCATAATACACCAAGAAAATCAGTCCAAACAGAAGCCTACCAATAGTCCAAAACCTGCTATTACTGCCATGCCCAAGTCTGTCCATAAAGCCTGCAATGCTACCCCTGCACCAACAGAGAACCAGTCCAAAATTTACAATAAAAGGGCACCACAAAAACGGCAGCAAAAAGGGTCAGATGAGTACACCATAATTGTTCATTATAGCTCATGTTTTCCCTCCATTTTCAGGGGGACTCACCTTTACTGATGAAAAAAAGAGGGCATTAGGAGATCATTTTTCATATAGAAAACCTGCAACAATACAGTAAAAAAAGACACATAAAAAAAACAACACAAAAGGCAGTAGCAGTACTCTCTCCCTCTCTTTCGATGCATAGCCCCTTTCTATGTCTCTTCTCACTTTCCACGCTTACCCTATATTCCTTTCTCTCCTAACAACATAAACAGTGCCCTCTGCATCCCAATTTCCGGTAACCACCTTCACAAATTCCCTTCATTCCTCACAAATAGTGCCCATGTTCATCATCATCACCCATCAATTCACCGATCCGCCAAGACCTCACTTTTTCAAATCAACAACTATCCTTCTGCAACTTACCCTCATCGCAGCACCCTGCTTCTCTGTTTCCCCTTCAACCTTCCGCTCCAACCAGTTCAACACAGTTTGCAGCTAAACCGCAATTTCAACAAAGGACTGAAACATAATTTTGAAACAACAGAACCCACAACATTCAATATCACAAACACCAACGAGTTCCACAAAACTTTCACAAAACGAAATCAGAGCAACGACAAGTTTGAACTTGTTAGAAATTTTGAATCAGCGAAGAATTAAAGCAAAAGAAGTAAGAAAAGGAAGAGCAATTTTGAAGCGCACCTTGCAGGATTTTGAGCTAACGCTGAAAGACATCCCAAAAGTGGAATTTCTATGGACTAGATCGTGAAATGGGTCAAGACCACAAACATTTCAAATCAGGACAGTAGAGCGTTGGTAATCATATATCACCACCAGATTTCACCAGAGCTTTCTCTTTTTCTTCGAATTTCCCTTCAATCGGTAACGGTCTCGCTTTGATTTACTTATGATTGTGCTGTTAGGTTTTTCTTGACATATATTCCTTTGAAATGTTCATTGCTTGATTAATCTGTCAGGATTCCACGTTCATAGAAGTTTGTGTTGTTGTTCAAAGCTTTTTGTTGTTGTGTATTTGTGTTGATATAATCTTGTTTGATGCTGTATATGACACCGAAAAAACCGTGAGAGAGAGAATAGAAAGGAGTGAAGCATAGAGAGACCAGAAGAGGGAGTTTATGGGTTCATGTTAAATCGTGAAAACAAAACAAGGAAGAACAGAGGAAAGAGAAAATAGGAGATGAAAGGGAGTGGTTCGTGGGGAAGGGACATGCGTTAGTTGATGTTTTTTTTGAGAAATGGTAGGAGTTAGTTGAACTAATTAAGTCTGACTTTTTCCTTCCCAAGATAGCCAAGCGGTGCCCTTCCTCATGTTTAGGGTTTTCAAAATCCTTTCTTTATCCTTCCAAAAGCGGGTCAAATCCATGGGCCTTTTAGCCCAATTTTATTTAAACCTTTTCTGTTTTTTAGGTTAGTTAAAATGTACATATGATATTTAAGTAGTATTAGTCCAATTGCAAAGTCAGTTTAGTTGTGATTAAAGAGACACGAGTTCAATTCCTATTGGGATATTTCTTTTCCGTTTTTGTTAGTTCTTTAGTCTTATTTCCCAAAAAAAAAATAATATTAGTAAATCTTACAACTAATTTAGTTTAGTATTAATTTAGATTTATTTTATAACTTTTTGTTTTAGCTTTAGTTTAGTAAACTTTAGAATTTTATGTGTTGTAGTATTATTTTAGTAACTTTAGAATTTTATTTCATTTAGATTTGACTTAGTAAATTTTATAATTTTATTTGTTTTAGTTTTGACTTAGTAAATTTTAGAATTTTGTTTGTTTTAGTTTTGACTTAGTAAACTTTAGAATTTTATTTGTTTTAGTTTTGACTTAGTAAACTTTAGAATTTTATTTTGTTTAGTTTTATTTTAGTAACTTTAGGATTTTATTTCATTTAGATTTGACTTAGTAAATTTTAGAATTTTATTTGTTTTAGTTTTAATTTAGTAAACTTTAGAATTTTATTTGACTTTATTTAAGTTAACTTTAGAATTTTAGTTGTTAGTTTTAGTTTAGGGACTTTAGAACTTTATTTGATTTAGAATTAGTTTAATGAGTTTATAATTTTTATTTGATTTAGAATTAGTTTAATAAGTTTAGAATTTTAGTTGTTTAGAATTAGTTTAATATTCTTTTAGAATTTTATTTGAGTTAGATTTAGTTTAGTAACTTTGGAACTTTTTTTCGTTTTAGATTAGCAACCTTGGAATTTTTATTTAGTTTAGATTTAATTTACTAATTTTTAAAATTTTTAATTTAGCTTAGATCTAATTTAGTAATTTTAGAACTATTTTTGCAACCTTAGAATTTGTAGTTAGTTTAGAATTTTTTTTAGTAAGTAATCTTAAATTTTTAATTTAGTTTAAATAACTTCTTTAGATAATTAGTTACATTCTCTTTTATTTTATTTAAATATCTTTGTCATTTTAATTTCTCGATGCCTTTAGGTCATTAATCTGTTTCGTTATATTTATTTTCTTGTGAATTTTGATTGATTATATTTTGATGTCTATTTTATTTTGCTCGCTCGATTTAATCCAAGGGAAATGTTTTAACTTTGTTGACTTCATGTTATCAAACACATCTCATCCAATCGTGCGAATACCCTCATTCATTTTTGCTTGTTTACTATTTTGCCAAACTTAAGATAATTTTCCCAAAAGACTCAATTTTAAAACTCACACTTTTTTTAAGCCAAAACTTCGACACTAGGTCGTCGTATCTTCAAAACAAGTCCAAACAAACCATTTTTATCCAAACAAGTCATTTTAATCAAACAAATTTTTTTTAATAAAAAACAGATATTTCAAAAGGTTCCTGTGGAGTACCGCAGATGCAGTGGGTGCTAATACCTTCCCATTGTATAACCAACCCCCGAACTCTCGATCTCTTTTAAAAACACATTGTATTTTCATTACTTTTAAATATTACTTTACATTGCATATTTTAGGGTTTTATTTCGCTCTTTTCCCTTTTCCCTTGGAAATAATAAAGCGCGGTGGCGACTCTTGCTTTTGTGAGTCAAGTTAATTAATAGCTTGATCTCCGATTTTCACCGCTATAACTATTACATGACTTTGGAACAGTTACATAATAGAAATTTGTAGAAAAGTAAATCTATGCTATTACATCCTCGGCGCAGATACATAATTTAAAAAAATGCGGAAATGTAAATCTAAGCTATTACATCAATAGTGCGACCTATACATTTTGTCTAATAAGATTAAATAGTAGTAAGAAATAAAAGAATGTTAGAAAAATATGTAAAGACCTAAGGTTCTAAATGTTAATGTTTTTGGTGTTTTTTGTAGAAAATAATTTAAGTGATAATAATTAATTAAAACCTAATTATTAATAATTAATTTTAGTGTTAAGAAAAAGGTTAATTAATTAATTGATAAATAAAATATGTCAAAAATTATCATTAACTAGAAACCCTACTCCTATTTTGCTATAGTTTTAAAAAAGATTAAGTTAGTTAATGATTAATTAAAAAGATAATTAATTGAGAAAAAGAAAGAAAATTAGGTTAGAAAAAAATAAGGCAAAAAGAATTCCATCAGGTCATATGCTTGTTTGTGATTGAGAATGAGTATCAATCAACATGTAATAAACCTGCATTAACCTGGAAAATAAAAAAAAATATTTTTACAAAAGAGGGGATCGAACACACGCCCTTTCGTTTAACAAGCATCTCACTTACCACCTGGCCATAGTTGTTTCGCATCAATTCAATAACATGTAATATATATATATATATATATATATATATATATATATATATATATATATATATATATATATATATATATAAAACAAGTTAAACTCTAAAAATCAGAAATCAACAAGAATTGAAAATGTGCGCTAGTGGTGGGGTCATAAGGTTTTAAATGGACCAATCAGAGAGAGGGAGGGAGCCACGCATGCCCTTGACCCCGGTTAGCGCCACCACCAATGGTGGTGCCACCTTCTTCTCCATTGAGACCAAAGCCAAACCTGAAAAATCAAACCAAAATGAAAAATAAAAGCATATAGATCCACTAATTGTGACCTTACGAATTCAATGGTGGTGTTAGTTTGAACTGAGAAGGCCTGTAGCTAGGGTTTCGAAGCTTTGAGATCTTCGATCCCTAGTAATGGTGAATTGTAATACCTATACTCAAACGCAGAAATAATGGTTTAAAATAATTCCAATCATCAATATGAGCATGAATATATGCATATAATTCATTTATATTGCATGAATAGGTATTTTGAAATCTTAAAACATGAACAAATCGAAGATGTTTGGTTGGAGAGTTCTGAGATGTTGTAGGCTTGAGTAGTGATTGGGAACGACTCCTGGAGGTCCCAAAAAGCTAATGGAATGCTCAAAGTTGATTGAAACTTGTTGGAGAAAGAGGTCACTTGTACCCTAGTTTTTTTCGCAAATTTGAAGAATTAGGGTTGGGTCTACAAGCTACTACCAATCCTCTTTTTGGTCTGAATGTAATGAGTATATTTAGAAGAGAAGATTAGGTCAAATGGTGGGATTGGATACCTCATGAAATCATAGCTTTGATTTTGTTTGAAAATAATTTGAGATCTTCCAAAACTAACGAAGATTTGATTCACAAATAAGTCTACACGGTTTGTAGCATGACCTTGGGCCTCTAAAAGATTCAGATCACAAGCCTTTTACACCTTATACATTTACTTAACATTTATTTGATTTAATTTTGAATTTAAGTGAATAAAAACCAAAATAAATGAAATAAAAATTAAAATGATGTATGAATGGACTTAGAAGTCTATTATGAGGTCAGGAACATGTTTGGACTTTAGAAGATAGGCCCATTAGCCCAAAGATTCAAATTTGCTCAATTTGGATTTCATGCATTTTCTTAAAATTACCCAACTTACACAAATCAAATCTCGCTCAATTTTTGTCATAAGAAGGTGATTTTGGACTTTTTGGAAATATCAAGATATCTCCTACAAATTTCATGTTGATCATATTTTCATTTGAAGTCTTTAACTTGGGGTAAATTGTTTTGACAAAAAATGTCCTTTTGT